AGATGAAGCTTCACTCACTCCCCAGATGCTCGCCTCCTGCTGTGCAGCCCTGTTCTTGCCTGTCCTTGGTCCAGGGGACCCCTGCATTAAAGGTTGGTTTTCTGAAGTTAATTTTAGCGATATCTAAGCTGATACCAAGTATATTTGTTTAGAACATTTTCCAAAAATAAAGTTGAACTAATGAAGCAACAGACTTCTTGAAAAACAATTTCAGTGATAACCTAGCTCACTGGAAGAAAAGTTATAGGAAAATTATTTGACTTCTTGGTAATTTCTATTGTGAATCACTATTCCTTGAGAAAATGGAGTAGAATGCAAGCTACATGAAAATTCTGAATTCTGTCCGTTAGTTCACAGTGCCTGGCACATGGTAGTTACTCATTAAAAATTTGTTGAATGAATTAATAAATGAGGGTAGGAATCTCAAAGATTAACAAAGTTTGCCAAATATAGTTAAGAAAATAAGGGGAAAAATAACCAAGACCCAGCTACTTAAGTAATTCCCAATACCCATTGCTGCCAATTATAGGCTATCGGTGTAGGGCTGGAGCCAGACAGTGAGTGACATGCTCAAGGTCACACGCCAAGTTAACAATAAAGCTAGAATCAAAATCCAAGCTCCCTTCACCATACCACCAGTGCATGAAGCAATATATATAAAGGCCAAGGAGGTTATTTATTTAGTTTATATAATGTCCAGCTCGTGACATTTGTAGAGCAGCTGGTATAAGTTGTAGCACTTGCACTGGTCTGTGTGAGTTCATGACACCCCTGTTGGCCAGACTCTGTCATGTGTTCAGTGAAAGAAGAAATGGGTATTGACTCTCTTCCTCAACTTCTGGGTATATATGGCAGACTCCTCTGCATATGGCTGAATTAAGGAGCAGGCTCGCTTGGCAGCAGCCCATGACACGAGGCCATAGGGCTGCCAGAGTATTGCAGACATTTAACAAGATAGAGATAGCTGTACTTATCAGAACTCATCTCAGAGGGAGTGTGATTTATGCTGAAGAGTTGGTGTGATAAAGTTGCTCAACGCCTCACTTCACCCTTCTCGCTAAAGAGCAAAGATAAATCACAGTGGATGGTGTTAAAGTACTTTTCAATCTAGAGATGTGAGACTCAGTAACTTCTGAGTGGGTGGATTTGGAGCCAAAGCTGAATGACATGTGACAGGAGAAGAGAAACTAAGTAGTTGTTTAATTAACAACTACTTTTCATGGAGCCTCTCTAACAGACATCAAGGACCTTCCTTCTGCCCCCATGTACATAGCCTATTCCTCTAAATTGGGCCGATGATTTTTTAAAGAATCACTCTTTAGAGGGGCGCCGAATTATTTGTTTTTCGGGGTGCTTTGAACTGGTTCTGCCATCACAGGGGACTCTGGCCAAATCAACGGTGGATGCTTGAATTTGGTCCAGTCCTGAAGCAGAAGAAGAACAAATTATGTCCTGAGGTCCTTTATGGCTGAAGATCTTAGGCCGAATGATGGAAAACTCTATCAAAAGTTTCTAATAACTCTCACAAAATATAATCGAAAAAAAGAAAAAAACAAAACAAAACAGAGCCCGTTTTTTAGCCAAAATTTTGGCTGTGTTTGCTAATTGAGTTCGGCTATATATAATTCTTAGAACAGAAAGAATTAACTCCCTAACCCTAGAAAAAAAGGACCCAGATATACTCTAGTGATGTCACTTAATTAGTCCTGTGACTTTGTATACGTTATTTAACCTCTCTGAGACTCATTTTCCTCATCTGAATAATAGCCATGACAAATTTAATTATACATTTAAATGAGATAGTGGCTTTAAAAATACTGTTAGAGGGCCTTGCACACAAGTATTCAATAAATATTAGTGATTAATTAATAATTGGCAAACTAATAAATATTAGTTAATGTTACGAAGTAATCATCCATAAAGCTTTATATTAGACCTTTATGAGGGTGATAAAATACGAGAGACAGATTGTTAATTGGCTTAGAGAACAGTATATAGGTGTATGTTTTACGGTCAATACATAAATTTATTCACAAGAAATATATTCATTTTTTCCAAGGAAAGAAAAGAAAGAGTTCATGAAAAGATGCTCAAGGATTCTTAATGTAATCAAATGTAGAACACAACACACATCATGTACAAACCCATATCGAATTTGTAAACTGAAATCTCAGGAAATCTCACTGGGACTCTCCCCTGAGGAATAATAACCTTTAATTAACAATTACTTTTCATGGAGCCTCTCTAACATCTTCCAAGAAAATAGCAATTCCTTGGAAACACACGAAGATGTGCTTATATGATTCCAAAATTATATATATATATATATACACACACACACAGACACACACAAATATATATATATAATTCCACATTGAGTTGATATATTACATTTTTGGTGCAAATTATTCTAAATGTGATGGTAAATTGTGTGTAGCAGTGAGAGTGTTTAGACTGCTTAGAAATACAGAAGCAGAGAGAACAGTTGCGAAATAACCAGACTAATCCAGTTGACTGACATATCTATCGTGGAAACAAAAAAATGTACCGCAGTAGGAAATGGCTATCTTTGTCATTCAAACGTACTTTGATCTGTGATCAACTACCCAGTGCATTTCATTAGCAGTTGTCAAAAACAGGACTATACATGGTGAACTAGAAAGAACTTTTGACTAGGACTTAGAAAATTAGCCATGTAAACTTAGTTAAGAGAGTCAAATTACTTTTCTCTAGTCTCAGTTTGCTCATCTGTAAAGTGGCTATAAAAATTCCACCCTGCTTATTGCATGAAGATGATCCGATCAATTCCCTCCTTTCACACATGAGAAAACTGAGTAGTGAGTGAAGTGACTCTCTTAAGGTCACATAGCTAATCAGTGACAGAATCATGACTAGAAATAAAAGTCTTTTGAAGAGTTAGACTTTCTGCAGTAACAAAGCTGCCATTGAAGCAATGGATAGGAAAGGGCTTTGAAACGTAAAATATAAGGGTTTCGTTCGGTAGAAGTATGATGGAGTTTATCTACTAAAATCACAGTTGAGATCGTTGAAATGCTTTTTGAGACTGAACCTGTACATTCAGCAATAGCCGTCTTTCTTTTAACATCAAATAGAATCTTTTTCATTTCTCAACGAAGACACGAGAAGTAAACAATTATCTGAATTAATTCAGACACTGAAGTGGATTTTCAAGGACTTGACTTGCCCAAGCTAGTTTTCTACGAAGTCTAAATTAATCAGATAATTGCTAATTCTCTCTTTTGTTTTGTGCTGAGGAGAGCCTGACTTTGTTAAAATGAACCTAGTAACAGAATAAACATTTTAAATCCCAAATCTAAACTAAATGATGGAGTTCCTAAGTACACTATTTCTTTAGGCATCTTCTCCATTCTTTACTTTAAAAGCTTAATTTTCTTTATCTGAATGTGAACATTAATACTACTTTTGTGATCTAAAGAGAACATTTTAAGCAAACAAATGAAAAAAAAAAAAATCAGCCTAAACCGATAATCCAGAATATTGTGAACATGCTTTGTTACACTGTCAGTAAAACAAAAACTTAAATGCCTCTCCCGGCATGACTAATAAACAACAGTTAAGTCTTTTAGATTCAATTCTTACTGACACATTTTAAAAATATAGTCAGCTTAGTAGTTTTAAATAATCTCTACTTAGCCATCAAAGTTTTATAATTAAGCAAACAGTGCTAATTACCCTCCTTCTAATATCAGGAGACAAGTTTAGAAAGTAATTTAATTAATTGGCTCTGAAAAATTAATTACATATGCAATGAGCCTCATTAGACCTTTCCTGTTTCATCAGAATTTCAAACTAAAGAATAACTGGTCTTATCACATAATTTCTTTGAGGTTCGCCTAGCATAAAATATACTTATGATGATGATTAAATATTTTACCCAAATAAATTTTGGACGAGAACATTGTATTAAACTAATGTGAACATGAAACTCTTACTTTTCCGCTGTAATAAGTATTTGCATCTTAGTGTAAAGATTTTACTCTGTGTGTGTGTGTTAGATCACTAAACTGACAAAAAACAACACACACACACAAAACAAACAAACAAAAAAACACCTCATAATAATTAACTTTCAAATTCGGCCCAGCAATGTATTCTGGCTTTGCCATGTTGAGCATAAACTAAAGTGAAATGTGACTAAAAACTTTATCACATAATAACTGTTGATTACTCAGATAGTTTTCATAAACTGTTGGCAAATTGTAACTTACAACAGCTGTCACTATAAATTTAAAGTAAATGTTAATTTAGGAATATTAACCTTGTAAATGTTTGTGTAAATCAGGCTTGTGCTATTTTCAAAGGTCACAGAATAGCACTAGAGGATTTTTAAAGCAAACTTAAGGCAACTTTACCCTCACTGTTTTAAAATTCTTCAGTTTTACACATAAAAGGCTTTAATCATACTTGAATGCCTTTTCAGTGATTCCCTCGAGGATACAGACCGCATAAAGAAATGCATTTGATAGGTTTATGTCTTGGAGGTGAGAGAATAAATAAACTAAAGAAACAATATTGCCACAGATGGACTATACTCTTTTATATAAGAAAACAAGGAAAGCATTGGCATCCAGTCCCACCGCCTGTTTACTAAACGAAGCAACCTGTAAATACTTAAGAGCAATTATAGCTTACAGACCACAGGCGCTGCAGCATCGTCCTGGGCTAAAGTTAGCACTCTTCCTTTTTGTCCTGTTTGAACAACTTATTTCCAAGTAAGATTTGCATGACACATTGCAAAGCCTTTTGTACAAACTCCTAACATGGCATCCAGTATCATATTTACTCTGATACAGACATGTAGCCCAATGTAGTAGTCAAGTATAGAAACGCTTGTTTCTAATGGATTAGAACCACTTTTTTTTTTCCCCCTGAGGACACACAGGCAAAAGCGAAGCGAAAGCCACAACAAAATATAAAATGCTGTACCTGCAACGTGCTGAACTCTTTCCAGTACTCACCCTTTCGGCAACTTAGTTTCTCCTTGGCAGCTCTGCTGTGCCAAATGCTTGTACCTTCCCAAAATTGTATGTCAGCACAAGCCCAGACGAAACTTCAAATCCAGGAAAATGAAATTAAGCATGCAGATCAAAGGCAGAGGAGCAGGGAGATGAAATGCCAGTAATCTGATCGGTGATCGGTCGCAGAGGATCAAAGGCAGGGCTAGGTTTATATATAAGCATGGATATCAAGAAAGTTCGCTTTCAGCAGGTAGCCATCCTCCCGCCTCCTAGTCCACAAATTCTTTTGTTTAACACGGATCGCGTTGTTTTCCTTTCTTTCTTTCTTTCTTTTTTCTTTTTTTTTTTTCTTTCAAGGAGGCAATACCGGTGGTTCTCCCAAGCTTGGGCTGAGTGGCTGGATCCGTAGCCTTTTAGGTTCCCAAGCTGTGTTGTGGAGTGTGTGTGCTGGAAGCTGCCTAGTGCCAGCGGGTTCTGCTTTATCCCTTTCATCTCGCTCAACTGCAGATCCCATGACATCATTCAGCGCCGTGGGACTGGTAGGAGAGCTATAATTCAGCCTGTGGGGGAGTACAGCTCAAGTGAAGCCAGACTTTGCCTGATTTCTAATCACATTAGACTATAGTGCCTCAGGCAGGACAATTTCTGTTATCTGTTCCTCAGCTGGAAAGGTCTGCAATTGTTGCGTGATGATTGGAGCGTGATAGGATCCCTGATCCATCCAGTTTCCAAATGACAGCGTTTAATGGACTCCTCGTTGATGAAAATCAGCAAGTTTTCACAAAGACTGTCAAATAATCAGAATAGTTACATATCACTGTAAGACCACTGGCAGTTGGAGAGGATGACACTTCAAAATTGTGTTTTTGTTTTAGATGTGACAAGTCTTTAAGGATTTTAAGTAAGCTGTCTTTTCCTTGAAGCTTACATTATTAAAATTGACTGCCAATGAAACAGTGGGTGTTTTAATTAAAGTAATGAATGGGCAGATAACCAACAGTTAATCAGTGACTGATATCTGCCACCCTCTCACTTAAGCACTAGAGTAGAGACTTAATCTTAGCCTTGGTCTTAGTTTGGGATTCTGAAAATTAGATTTTAAAACAACGGGTAGTTCTTAGATAAGTGTGATTCATTAACACCTGTTGAGCAGTTTACAATTCACAAAAGAGGAGAATTATGTAGAGGAAAAAAGCACCTGCCCTGTGCTTAACCCAGGGCTGTTCTTTGCTTTTTACTGCTGTGTCTTCTAAATCCAGAGTCGGAACTCCTAACTCACTAAAAATCACCACAATTATCTTATTTTCCGTAATTTAAAATTAAACCGATGACACATTATTTAGAATTTTCTTACTACTGTTCCTTAACAATGACAGTCGATAAAATAAGATGATTTTATTTTTAGTATTTATCAAAATAGAAGATAATAAGAAATTTTATTTCATTATGATACAGGATACAGTACATTTCTGAATTCCAGACTACTCTTTTATGAAATGGAGGAAAATTTCTATTTTGTATTGGAAACTTGCCAACTTTTAGAAGGTCAGTTAAAAATATCTTTGCAAAACTTAGAAAAAGTCAAAGTTAATCTTTATACAACTTCCTTCTGTAATTGGTTTCATCTAATTATTCCTGATGTGATATTTGAAAATGTAGTTTACGATGTCTTTATTTCCAGATTTCTATGATTCTTGAACAAATGTTAATAGCAAGTTATACGGTTTGAACAGTTAATGAGTTCAGCATAACATTTAAATTGTCATGTTTATTTTTCGACATTTCTTTAATAATTTTTCTACCTCAGGCACTATTTCTCAAAGATGCACAGAGCTCAGGTGTGATTCTCCATGACTTCTTCGAAGTGGAGTAGGAAACCCCTGTGATACCTGGCCTGTACATAATGTTTCCTGGGCTCCTTTGAATACGAAGAAAATATCAAAAAGGACAAAATATTTCCAAGTGGGCGTTTGTGTCTTTCTTATCTGAGGTAGTCTAACTCTGCAACGAACATGAAATCCGTATTCCATCAAACTGCATTCAGCGATAACGTTTCCCAGTACACGACGTATTAAAGCATAACAGCTAGATGCTCTTTGCTTAGGTTCTTTGGATCAGCAAGTAAATCCTAATGTTATATCTGTTATCTCCAGTGGATGAGTTTATTCACCAAGTCACTGAAAATTATTTTGAATTGATTCTCTTGCAGTCAAGAACCCCCTCCCCACTACGTGTGTGATGAAAGGGGGCCGAGGTTAGGGACCCACCTGTCCTAAGGAACAGTGTTCCTAAAGGCCTGCCTCGTGAACTCACTGGTGCTGTGCCCCGCCCCGGAGCGCCCTCCGCTGTGGCCTTGACCATGGTTACTATGGCTACTGTGGACCAGCACCGCAAAGAAAAGCTTGTCTCTTTTCTCTCTCTCCAAGAAGTTTAGAAATTAAATCGAACGTTACGATGACAAGAAACATATCACTACGCTCTACATAATTTTTATTAGTTTTAATAACACCAAGTTACAGTACTTTATTGATGCTTCCTAGGGCCATGTCACAGTGTAAGTGGCTTATTTTACAATCTCCATCAAGTCACATTTCAGCCACCTGGCGTGTCATGGGGCTGAGGCCGCAATCTGACCCATGCGGGCGGCTAAAGGCCACATTTCATGGCAGTTCAGTTGTCTCTTTCACAGGACGGAGGGGCTTACTGAGGTTCTTTGGAGGGGGTGGGTCCTCACGTTCGCCCCTGTCACCACGGAGGGCTGTTTTTCTTTCCAACACTTGAAACACATTTCCTTTGTTTCTTCACCTCGATGGTATAAATTACTACGTAGTATAAATTACTACGATTGTGAGATATAGATTCAGGAAATGCATGTGTTTTTCCCATTCAATTCCAAAGTCCTTGGAATTACTTAGAACTCTTTTCTAATGCCATCTTTTCTAAACTTTCTGTTCAGAGGATACGGCCTGGATTATATCAGATAAGCACAGCTTTATACATAAATCGGGAGGAATAACTTTAGAAATTGCATCGTTTACACACTCGCGTGCGTGTGCGTGAAGTGGCTCAACGTTAAGGAATAGCATGGCCGCTGGAGTCAGAAAGGCCTTGGTTTACATCTCTCATTCCCTGCAACTTGATAACGGCTTGGACACTTCAGGCAAGCCACTTAATCTCCCTGAGCTTCATTCCTGACCTATGAGAAGGGAAGAACACCCATCTTTTCACGTGACTGAGACAAGAAATGTACGTAGAGAGCATCAAGCAATCCCACTGCTGGGTGTTTGTTCAAGGGAAATGAAATCCCTATCTTGAAGTGAACATCGTACCGATGTTCACTGCAGCGTTATTCACAGTCACCAAGATGAGGAAACAACCTAAGTGTCTGTGGATGGATGAATGGAGCAAGAAAATGTGATATATACATATCCACAACGGAATATCATTCAGCCTTAAAAAAAAAGAAGACATCCCGACATTTGCGACAACGCAGATGAACATGAAGGACTTATGTTAAGTGAAATAAGCCAGACACAGAGGGACAGATAGTACACAACCTCACTTATATGCGAATCTAAAACAAATAAACAAAAAACACAACACAAAACAAAAAAGCCCACTGAACTCGTAGTAAGAGAGAATAGAATGGTGGTTACCAGAGGCTGTGGTGTGGGGGGAAAAGAAGAGATAAAGAAAGAAAGAAAGAAAGAAAGAAAGAGAGAAAGAAAGAAAGAAAGAAAGAAAGAAAGAAAGAGAAAGAAAGAAAGAAAGAAATAGAGAGAGAGAGAGAGAGCGAAGGAGAGAAGGAGAGAGAAAAGATGGAGGAGGAAGAAGCAAAAGAGAAGGAAAGATTATAGAGCCTTAGGTG